CCTGGCCCGGTGGGTGTCGGGGCACCGGACTCCAGGGGTGCAGGAGACCCCCAATGCAGCTCTGCGCCCCCCAAAAGGAGACCCTGCCCCCCCGATGAGCGGGCTGGGGGCTCTCACCCCGGCACAGGACCCTCTCCTGGGTGCCATCCTGGGGTGCGGGTCCCCACTTGGGGTTCCAGTCCCTTCTCGGGGTGTGGGTCTTTTTCCAGGGTGCGGGTCTCCTCCTGGGGTGCATGTCCCTCTCTGGGGTGCGGGTCCCATCCCGGGGTGCAGGTCCCTTCCTGGGGTTCCAGTCCCTTCCCGGGTGCGGGTCCCCGCTCGGGGTGCAGGTCCCTTCTCAGGGTGCTGGTCGCTTCCCGGGGTTCCGGTCTCATCGCGGGGTGCGGGTCCCCACTCAGGTTTCCAGTCCCTTCTCGGGGCTCCAGTCCCTTCTGGGGGTGCGTGTCTCTTCTTGGGGTGTGTGTCCTTTCCCGGGGTGCGGATCCCTTCTCGGGGTGCGGGTCTCCTACCGGGGTTCCGGTCCCTTCTGGGGGTGTGGGTGCTTTCCCAGGATGCGGTTCTCAGGGTGCAGATCCCATCCTGGGGTGCAGGGCCCTTCTGGGGGTGCGGGGCCCTTCCCGGGGTTCCGGTCCCATCCCGGGGTGCGGGTCCCTGCTCAGGGTTCTGATCCCTTCTTGGGGTGCAGATCCCCTCCCGGGTTCTGGTCCCTCCTCGGGTGCAGGTCCCTTCCCAGGGTGCGGGTCCCCACTCGGGGTTCCAGTCTCTTCTCGGGGTGCGGGTCCCTGCCCGGGTGCGGGTGCCTTCTTGGGGTGCGTGTGCCTTCTCGGGGTTCCAGTCCCTTCCCGAGGTGCGGGTCCCTGCTCGGGGTGCATGTCCCTTCTTGGGGTGCAGATCCCGGGGTTCCAGTCCCATCCTGGGGTGCGGGTCCCCTCTCGGGTTTCCAGTCCCATCTCGGGGTGCGTGTCTCTTCTCGGGGTGCGGGTCCTTTCCCGGGGTCCGGATCCCTTCTTGGGGTGCAGATCCCATCCCGAAGTGCAGATCCCTTCCCGGGGTGCGGGTCCTTTCCCGGGGTGCGGGTCCCTTCTGGGGGTGCATGTCCTTTCCCGGGGTTCCAGTCCCCTCCTGGGATTCTGGTCCTTTCTGGGGTGCAGGACCCTTCTTGGGGTGCCGAGCCCATCCCGAGGTGCGGGTCCCCTCCCGGGATTCCAGTCCCTCTCTGGGGTGCGTGTCCCTTCTTGGGGTGCGGGTCCTTGCCCGGGATTCCGGTCCCTTCTTGGGGTGCGGGTCCCCTCCCAGGGTGCAGAACCTATCCCGGGGTGCCGTTCCCTGCCCAGGTGCGGGTCCCTTCCCGGGGTGTGGGTCCCCTCCCAGGATTCCAGTCCCTCTCTGGGGTGCGGGTCCCTTCTTAAGGTGCGGGTCCCCTCCCGAGGTGCGGGTCCCTTCTGGGGGTTCCGGTCCCCTCCCGGGGTGCGGGTCCCCGCTCGGGATTCCGGTCCCTTTCCGGGGTGCAGGTCCCCTCCTGAGTGCGGGTCCCCTCCCGGGGTGCGGGTCCCTTCTTGGGGTGCGGGTCCTTGCCCGGGATTCCGGTCCCTTCTTGGGGTGCGGGTCCCCTCCGCAGGTGCAGATCCTATCCCGGGGTGCGGGTCCTTTCTTGGGGTTCCGGTCCCCTCCCGGGGTTCCGGTCCCTTCTGAGGGTTCCGGTCCCCTCCCGGGTGCGGGTCCCCCCCCGGGGCGTGTGCGGGGGCGGAGCGGAG